TATTTATTATCAGAAACATATCAGTAGAACTGTGTAATGTGAAATCAATGAACAAACAAAAAATTCTGATAATAATTATATCTGATAATTTTAAAATTTACAAATAATATTGGAAAATAATTAGGAATATATTGAAGAGATGCAATTAAAATGATGATAAGAAGAAATTATAAATTAATTAACAGTGATATGACCAAAAAGTATGAAATATCAGATATAAACAATGATGCTGTATCGATAAATGAATCGTTATTTGGGAAGAAAATAAAAATTATCTGATAACACAGTGCAATAATATACCATTCTGATGATTTTATTTCAGTTATCTGTCATACAATTTTTAAATTATTCGATAGAAAATATCCGTTAAATAGAGGTTCGATAGTTTTAGCAAATTGCTTAATTAAAATTTTATTTAGTCGACAAGCAAAGAATGGTGATAATTCGTTTCGATATTAAGCTTTTAATAAAGTTTTCTATCCATACTTCAACGCTGATTAATCAATCATACATTATGTTTGAAATATAATGAATTTGTATATGATGTGAATTACAGAAAGAATTTGTAAAATTTATTTTATGAAATACATCGAGCACAGTAAATTTTTAAGACATCTATAAAATGTTAAAATTTAGAAATGCCGATGAGTTAATGCCTATTGATAAAGAAAAGGCGATTACAAATTAAGAATACAGCAATGCCTTTATTGAATTTTGAAATGATTATTTTCAAATTCTGACTTATTGCATAATGCTAACGTTCATTGTCTTATAATGATTCAACGAGATTTTATTATTGCCATTTAAAAAATTCTGCCAATATTCGTCTATCAACGCATATTTCTGAAAATTGAATAACGGAAGTTTAATAAAATTACTTTTATCGCTCATTTATGCGCTAATTAACAGTTATTGTATTACATGGCTATTCAATAAAATTGGAAAAAGAAAAGTTAATAAAATTTAATAAATTGAAAAAGCAAGCAAGGCATACCTATTATTAAATATGAACAGTCGGACTACATTTCATCAATTTGAATTATCATTAAGCTAATTTGAAGCTCTGAACGTCGAACAATTTTCACGATATATGTTAACTTGTGTCACACTTTTCTTTTATGTTTGCTTTTTCTTTGTAAATATACTTTGCTATACAACTGCTTCCACAAATTGTATCGGAAAAGTCTCGACTAGAAAGCGAATTTCAATAAAACAGACAAAAAAGAAAATGTAAATATCACAACTCCAGAAGAAAGAAAAATACATATGGAAGATATTTTCATGCTTTGGAAGAGAGAAGGAGATATTGTATTATAACTAGATGGATAACATTTGAGTAGTTCAGGTATTATGTATAATCCATAAAAGTTTCTAATATTTTAAATTTCTCAGCTGAAATCCATTATAATCGATTTATCAGTTTCAAATTATAACTAAATCTTTGAAAAGTGGCAAATATGCCCTTCATCACAAATCATAATTTATTAAACAAAAAGCTACCCGGATAAACCTATTCTGATCACTCTAAACATGCTTTTCGTCTATGTTTCTTTTAAGACTCATTGATGTAGCCTAGAAATTTCTTCGAATATCATTTTCATCCTTTAAACCATAGTTCATGTCATCTAACCAAAAGGGGAAATCTAATTTGGGTGATAATTAATTCCAAGGTAACAAGTATGGATTAAAGTTTAAATAGCGTCTTTTTTCTCCATCTTACTGTGCGCCTTTATTGGTAATCATTATCATCATATTTAGATTTCTCTGTCATCTTTTACTCTAAAGAAATTAAAAAATTTTTCGTGTTTGTTGTAAAATTAATTCGCTCAATAGAGAAAATTTCCTCGAAAAAGGAAAATATATTATCCGTCCTCTTCCTGTAAACAATATATAACAAACATAAACTACCAAAAAAAAATTCATATTGATGTGATAGATGCCAAATCACAACAATTTGAGCGAAATTTTTGACATATAAGGAGACAAAACATTTTGTGATGTTTAATGATCGGATTGTTATTATCACAACACCGGATGATTGGGAAACAAATTTAAAACTAACACAAACAGCAGAATTTTTTAGATGATACTTACCAGAGCTAGAAAACTGATGAAGAGTTAGAAAAGAAATTCACAACAAAGTTTAGATAATCAATAAATACATGAATGCCAATTTATCAATGCACTGAAGTAAGTATTTAAATTTTCGGCTGATAAAATTCAGGGAACAAATTGAGCAGTGCAAGGTGAAGCATTCCGGCAGTTAAACCCCAAATTCGGTATTCATTTTGCGGTGTTACATTTGCCGCAAGAATGTAATGACGTGAAGTGAAAAAAACCGGTAATTTATAGTTTATATTACCTGTAACATAACAAATGATATTAATTACGATTTCAAATGTAAATAGAATTTATTAACTTGATAATTTGTAACAAACAAAGTAGTGATACATTACTCTCGCTTTTCTTATTAGGCAAAAATTAATCTGTCCAACATTTGTGTGAGCTAATTAAATATTATTTAACACTGCGAATGGCACTGCATTACTTTAAAATGCTACCAGATTAACACTTTTTATAAGTATGTAAGTTATATAAAAACATCAATGTCTTGCTTTATTTTAATTCAAACAGTACAATTTTTTTTTTTGAATAAACAATTTATGGCCAACCTTTTCTGAAATGTGTATAATGATGTTTGGTGCAAAGTTCATCAATTGGTGCAGCGAAAACAGTTTGCACTTCGTCATCTTTTGCTTTGATTGTATTGAAATCGGTAATATTTTGTACTAAACCAACAACTGGAATTACAGTGCTTATAGGATTACGTGCTATTATAGGCTTTAAGCGACCCCAAACTTGAACTTGATAGGAATATAAGCCAAACTCTTCTGCACTTTCACGTAATGCTGCCTGAAAATATTCATTCGTGAAAGGATCATTTCAGTGTTTATAAATTCATGTATCCACAACGCTGTAATGTGCCAGCGTCTCGAATGTATAGTACAAAACAATTAATGGTGCCGAACCGGTTTATATTAGAAATGAAAAAAAAAAACGTTTAGCAAATGAACCTGCTCGTAAGTTTCGCCTTGCTCCAAGCGTCCACCTGGAAAGCTCACCTCACCACGATGATTAGCTAGCAGCAGTGATCGATGAGTAAATATTATTGATGGTGATTTTTCGATATATACCAATGGTATCAGCACGGCGCTATCTCTTTTCTTAAAAGATGATCGATGAACCGGATAAGGTGGATAGATAGGATCCATCGACTGTTGCTTAAGACGTTCACAAAATTGTTCACGTAATCGTTGGTCAAGTACAATCCGATATGTTATTGCTGATAACCATCGTCTTGATATTTCATACATTTTTGATTATGCATGGAAGATTTCTAAATTTTATCAGTTGCTGCAGAAAGCAAAAAAAAAAAAAACCCTTCAGATTATCTTTTCGAGCTACACAACAAATTCATCATTTATGTTGTAGATTTCCCACAAAACTAAAATAAATTACGAAAAAGATACTGTGCAATAACTGTGAAAGATAAAAATCAATTGACCAAGTAAGATATCAAGAAAAATCAATGTCCAACCAATCAATCGACACCAGTGACCACACCGCGAATATCATGATGTGTAGTGTATTAACAATCTTACAATATATTAAGAGTAGCCACGGTATTTCCAAATATGACAAAATGAAATGTACCTTTGGCAATAAAACATTCAATCAAGTTGTATAATATGATATATTATAGGACTATCCTCTTCGTCTTTTGTACTTCCCGTAGATTTATGGCTGTTCGGACGTTACTCGTCATTATTTCATGCTTCTGCTCTCTTCCCCCCACTCTGATAATGTTGTTGACATTTTTCATAGAAAGATGAACTGTTAGCTAACTGTAACTGTCACTTAGACCATATACGTGAAAACATAGAAATATATTTCATAGATATGATGTATGGTATTATTCCTCAGTCGAATGATACTACACTACTTGTGAAACTATACTTTATCCTTTAGAACATGGTAATATACAGCTATCTACAAAATAGCCAGCATAAGGAAATGAAATAATGGCAAACAATTTCAAAAATAACAAAAGGGAGAGACTGAACATAAGTTCATTTCATGCTGAAGATGATACTTAGGGTTTCCCGTTCAGAAAATCTTTGCTCCTTTCTAATCTCTGTTACGAGAATTTCAGTCTCAGCTACACGTTACCAACATAACAGAAAACGAGAACAAAAATGAGAAAGTACAGGAAATGAAAGTAAAGCAGGCACAAAACACCAAACCATAAAATAAAAGCTATCAGTAAAATTTACATTTAAATAATAAGAGAATAGTCAGATGTTAGACGCAAAAAACCCATTAAAAATATTCACAAATAAGTACAGTTGCTGTTTCCCAAACAATATCAAAAGCTAACCTATTTATGCTCTATTTACTTCATCAATATCAGTCTTCCTCCCCTTAAATAGAAATTTTGCATCGTATCATTAATCTAAAGCACTCGACTCCTATGGAACTGTTCGAACTTTTTTGCAACTTTTGAAGCTCGGAGCGATTTAAGATCTACGTGAAAAAAAGATGAGAGAAAATTATAAACTACGTAGTAACAGTTCTAATAAAACTTCTCAACCTATTTTTAAAAAAGTAAAACTAAATAATGTGTTATATTAACAGGGTCATTACAGGAATTGTGTCAAGTAGGCGGTACACCGGTGAACGAAACTTCACTATAAAGTGATGGAGAATTCTTCGAAAAGAAGGCTAAAGCAAGCATCAAGCATAAAACTGCAGCCAGCAAACTGAAAACAAATATCGTAAGCTTGATAAAATAATTATTAAAGTCAAAAGTTTCGTCATCCTATTCTTGTCCATCAAAATACTTTGAAAATCAATAGAGGGAAGCATTGAAATGCAAAACAGGAAATTTCTATAAAGTCAAACAGAAGCAATGTTTCATAAACAAAATATACGCAACCGTTAAGAATGCCCAAAGATAGTCAGATAGGATGCATGTTTTTGTTGTCTAAGCCATTCGGTATCACTCAAAAATCTAGCTAATAAAAAAACACTAAATTCAAAAAAAAAACTAATCCAGAGAACAATCTTTCGACAAGTGGTGTAACTAAAAACATTCCATTCATTATCTTTTTGACCACTTCCGTCGATCGGTAGATAGGTTTTAATTATATCCTGTTTTTTATACAAACGTTTGGAAAGGAACCTTCAAAACTAGAAACAAATCAGAAATACTGGCCCAGCATCCGCTATCAACAATGCTAACAACTAATCATGAACAAATCAGAAAGACATGAAGGAATGTTGAATAACAGTGTATAGCGAATATCTTAATGCGCTAGTTATTTTCATAATCCAGATCGGAATTGTTAGGAAAAAAGGAAAGAGAGGATAGAATATCACCTCATAATATTGAAGTTATTACATTTCCGTTGTCGTGTTAGAAAGCTTTTCTCGTCGGAATGTTCCTTAACTGAAGAATTTTGTTGCTGCAGTTGCATCATCTGAAAACCAATTTTTATGAAAGCTATAAAATGACTTTCTAATAAAATAAATACAAGAATGAAAAGAGATAAGCTAAAAAAGGGATAAATTGAAGTTCAAGAATGATTACAATCAGTTTCATATTAACTTTCCGACCAGTTTGTTTATGATTACTTTTCTGACTACTGCTGTGTGAGATGATATTTTCGATCCGCTTGACACACTTTTTGTCGTAATTTAAAGCTATCTGAATGGTTGATAAAATTCAAAATCAGTTTTTGATTCAAACTAAAAGAACGCAGTATTACAGATCGAGCTACTGCTTTCCTTCCTGCCTCGATTATGAAAATTATCAATGACCGATGTTAGATTTTAGAAAGCGAATAAGTTTTAGAAGGAGCATCAATGCTTATCATCAAAGGCATAGTATACCATATAATAAGCATGAGTTGTAAACAACCGTTGTTCCTCTTCCTGCATTGTACGGCTACGTTCATGACTTTCTTTCAGTGCTTCAATCTACAAAATTATATTTAAAAATTTTGCAAAATTTTCGAATAAAGTTACTTTTGGCATCTTCTAATTTTAATTCATGACATATTCCGTTTAGAATCTCCATCGAATTTTCTTTCATCATTTCCACTTCATATGCAGAATGAATTTGTTACATTCTTTTCACAAGTGCAAGAATTCTTTAATACTGAAAGAATTACAGTTTGTTTGTAGGCGTCCCTTTCACGACGAATTGAATCAAATTCATGTCTGCTTAGTGCACCACTTTCAACAGCCCGATTCTGCTCTTCCAAGTCTTCTATCATACGGCGTGCTTTTTCCATATAATGCGTCAACCTGTCCTTCTCGCTCTTCACTTGTTGTTTTGACAATGTTAATTCTTCTAAAACCCAAAAAACGAGATACGATTCATACTTTTTCCTTATTTTATTCTAAAAAAATTAATACTGATAATGAGATGAAAAAGAATATTACCCTTTAAATTTCGAGTTTAAATATTGATATTTATCACACTAAATATAAAGTAATCTCAGCCATGTTCTCTATGCTTCTTACAAAAAAAAAATTTTTGCCAACCACTTAATGTTTTCTTATCAGCAATCTGCTGCTCCAGATCATGCACTGTTTGCTCAAGTCTCGCTTCAAGCTGTGCTATTTGAATAGCCATCCGTTCATTTGCTGTCTGCTCTTCTGTTAACCGACTATTGTTCATAAAGTTACCGGATTCAATTATGTCGTTCAGTCCTTTCATTCTTGAAAACAAATACATGTTATTGACAAAGAGATGCAATCGTAATGCATCACTTTATTAAGTGAAGAAAAAAAGAAACGAAAATCTGATAAGCAATGATTATCACTCTCAGTTGGGATTTAGTGATTTGCGGAATTTTTCACCTCTAGTTTTGCACTAGCATTTCTCAGTATAAAATGAAAATCGATAAAGTGTCACAAGAAATCCTGTTAAAAACGAAAAGAAATATTTTCAGGACAATTTTAACGTTAGTAATGACTACTAACCGTTTCCCCAACTCATTCGCTTTATTTTGCGCCAATTTGAGCTCCGTTTCTAAATTTCTCTTTTGAACATTCAATAAACTAAGTTCTTTCTTCAAACCCAGCTTTTCTTCATCTGTCATATTTCCAGCTAGCAAACGTTCTTTTTCCGTTTCCAACCGGACGATTCGTTCTCTAGAATAAAATTCTATTTCTAAACTTTTTATTAACTATATAATATATACACCAAGTCATATTTATTTCAAACAAACATTAATATTAAAACGATTAATGAAATCTTTTTTTTCTTCTGGAAATAACCTCAAAAGAGCGGTGGAATTTGCGTCAACTGTTTCATCGTGCAGTGACGGAGCATTGTTGCAATTTTCTGAAAATAATTCATGAAACAGTTTCGAAACTAATTGCCACGTTGAGGTGAACAAGAAAAGTTCATTATAAAAACATTTCTTTTACTAACCCTGCAAAAGTAGTTGTTCATTGAGTTCATGTCGTTCTTGCCGAAGATGTTTATTTTCCTTTTCAATTTCACTAATCCGTTCACTTAATTGTTTGAACTCGAATTCAGCCTGAAACTTTAATAATAAAGTACAAAAGAATCATACCATAGTTGATCTTCTGCCAAATTACGACCAATTTATTACTTCATGTTAAAACTGCTAAGAAAATCATTTAGTCCCAAATAGTAAATAACCTTATCAGCTCTTCTAACTTCGCAATTCAGTTTTGTTTCCAACTCCGAATTCTCTAATCGTAATGATTCAATCTGAGTCTTTAGTACACCATTTTTACGCTGTTCATCCTCAAGCGCAATGACACTTTTCATGTACGTCGTTACTTTATCTTCTAGTACTTTCACTTCAGTCTTTTGTGCCTTCCATTCCTCTAAAAAAAAAATCAATTAGAAATATTTATCTTTTGTTACTTTTTCATCACTATTTTCCTTCTTTCTGATTATCGAGATATGTAACGGAACTATTTTTCAGAGTTTATGCGTGCTCTACATGCTATATTTCCTCGCATAAATTTATCATAGCATAATAATATTAATAGAGGCTAAGCGAAATCAAAATATAATATGTGAAATTCTCGAAATTTTCAAATAAGATCTCAAGATAATCTTAGATATAGGAAAGTTAAAATATTAAGCAGACCAGACCATCAATTAGACGGATAAACCATAAACAACATGAAATTTTACAAAAATTTCACAAAAACGACACTCCTAATATTTTTTCGCATATTTTCATTCCAGTTCGTCAGAGATTTAATTTTCCCTATAAATAAATAGAAATTTACTTAGTTTGCTTTTGTAGCTATTGATCTGCGTATCAAGCTTCTCATACTTTTGCACAAGAAGTCGATGTTCTTCGAGTTCATCCCTTAGCCGCTTGCATTCCGCTTCCAGTGGTGCCATATCTTGGATCTAAGAAGAAAATCTTAATGAGAATTAAACAAGCAAAAATTTGATAAAACAGAAGTATTTAAAAGTCGTGAACGAGTGATTACAATCAAAAAATGAACCTTCATTCGAAATTCCGCATTTTCATCAAGTAACTGCAGATTTATTTTTTTCAGATGGTCTCGTTCAGCTTCAGCTCTGCAAATGCATCAAATATTTTTAAAAACTACAAAATTTCCAATAGTTCAAATGAGAATACCAAACGCGTAATATATCTGAAGTTTTCGCAAAAAATCATTACTTGTAAAGTGCATCTTGAGTGCTTTCACGGATAGAACGCAATGAACGAATTTGTTTTCGTAACGACTCTATTTCAACAGATCCTTCACTTAATTCATCAACGCGTAGTCGCAAACTCTCATTATCACTAGAAAGTGCCTCCCTCTCGGTACACGCTTCTTTCAACTAAATTAAATCGTTGAGTATTATTTGGCAGCGTTTCATTTTGCCAAGTTGAAAATATTCTTCAAGTAATACCAGAACTTCATTCGAGTATCCAATTAAGACACTTAGTACTAGGGATAAAACATTAATCTGATTCATAGGAAATAACACTTCCAAATAAATAAATTAGTGAATTATACATATGAATATGTATTTGTCTATTTCATCATTTAGATATTCCATCTACAGGTAGAAGAGAAACCTTTTCGTTAAGTTGCGTGCATTCCTGCTCCAAGCTTTCCACCTTAATCTTCAGATTTACCACCTGTTCCTTCGATTCTATCGGTTCGAGGCTCTAAAAGCATGACTTTATGAAATTTATTTTCTTTACAGCATCCTTGCACACATTTTCATATATGTTTTGTAGATCCCTACAAATGTTGAAAAGCGAAGTGTGTGAAAAGATAATTAAAAAAAATTACCGACGTCTCAGCTGTTTTCGCCTTTTCTTCTGCTGGTTCCGGCACTAATTCTTTAATTTCACTCATGATATTCACCGCTGTCCTTTGCACAGATTCACTTTGACTCATTAAAAGACGTATAAACTCTAAAATTATTCTGAGTTGGAGCAATTGGAAGCCCGAAACGATTAAAGTAATGAAATTCTTTACAAACTCTCCTTTTTTCCTATTTTAATATTCAAATTGAAACAAGTTTTGTTGTCCTAGCACATACAAAACGTTACTTTCATTATTTGCACAAAGGAGTGCAGCCCCAAGGACAAGCTGCAACAATCGGCATAACAGTTCTGAGTCATCATGTTCTGCTGCAATATTTTAATTTCAGTATTTAATGATTCTAGTTGCTTTATTACACATTTTCATAGTCTACTTTTTAAAAACAATGTAAATCTCGATTTTGGAATTGCAGAAATTATGATAAGAGGTTATTAAATGCCATTAAGACCTGAGAAGGGTAGTACACTCGAATCATAATCATTACTATTAGAATCAAACCAGAAAAGTCCGCAAACATTCCCTAGCCAAAAATAATATATAAATAAATATTTTGACTTTACCTATTCGCGTTGTGTCAATAACCCATTCTGGTGTTAACTCCGCTCCCAATTGATCTGTGTAATATTCCGAAAGTCGACGATAAATTTTACGTAAATTATTTGCTTTTAACCTCCAGTTAGCCACTTGATCGTAATGTGGTATTTTGCTTAGCCAATTATCATTGAAAAATAATGGATCGCTGTAAAACTTAACGCTATAATTTTTGCGAAAACTTCCTTCTAAAATAATATTCCAAATAAATATGAAATAAATGTGAAGCAACAAAATTTGGTTAAAAGACTAAGTGGATCAATCGATAAGATGAACTTTTCTATTTATTTACAAATTCATGAGGATTCAATTGGTAGTGTGTTACAATAATAAACCTTATTTGCTTGATAGAAATCTTTGCATCGAACATTTCTCAGATAAAAACTAATACTGTATGGTTAAGACCAAACAAACACATATAACCCTCAGTGCATAATGCTACTCATCCGCTTATCAGGTGTTGTATTAGAGATAAGATTTTTCTTCAAGATACTTCGAAAATCATTATTTTTAGTTATGCTTTTGACAAAGATCCGCACGAAAGGTAAATTCATTTTTTCATTAAGCTGAAAAATTCAAAAAATAGAAAAAAAATTCAGGAAAAAGAACGAACATCTTATATAATGCTTCTGCGATGGTTCGACCCGAAAAAAAATCCCCCAACTTTACTTCTTCCGCATCATCCAGTGAATTTATCTACAAAGAGTTAAAGTTTAAACTAAACGATTCGATACACAAATAAGTATCCAGGAAACGACGACACTCATTTTTGACCAAGAAAGAAATCTTTCGCTATATGTTTCGCATTTTATGACTGAATTTCATATAAGTTGTTAAAAACTCAACAGAAAGGCAGCAAGAATTCTTGCTCACTTGCAAATCGAATATAAAATAAACATGGAATTTTCTAAGAGGATTTTAGCAAATTACGAATTGAAGTAAGCCATTTATTTTCTGCTATGAACTTATGCACTTCCATCCATATGTAATCAACTTAGTGCTTGGGAATATTTTTTCAAGAGTTTCCAGAGGCAAAAAAAAGAGTTGAGTTATTTTTCAATATAAACTAACATTCCCATACATCTAATATTTCTTTTCATCTTCCTGTTGGCATTGATCATTTACCCAGAAATCCATTTTGATTTTCTTTCATTTAACTAAAAAAAAAAAAATAAGTAACATACCCATGTAATGAGATCATCCAAATATGCATCCATTTCTTTTCCACTGTTAGAAATACACTACCTGAAAATTGAACAATAATGACTTTGACTGTATTGGCCGGAAAAATCATCTCGACTTGTTAATATCTCATATATCACATTTAGACTTTTCAATGAAGACACTATATTGCAGAACAGTTCTCCCAAATATGGTCTTACGTCTCTGCACGTAGAACATACAGCTGCACGAAATGTCTAACTGTAAAAAAGAACAGAAGACAGCACTAATAGCCATTCATAATTCCGATTACACAAAAACATTGAACATCTTACTCGCGCCAAATCACTCTCTTTCTTTTGCATTTGAATTCCTCAACCTTCTTTTAATCACTACTCCTATTACATACCCGCGTTACCTATACCACTCTCTCAGTCCCTAACATTTTACTCTATGCAAGTTGTATAGCCGCACTCTAACATATTGAATGGCTTCATTTCATGCGGACTTACTATGAAGCAATTTCATCCCATAGTGGAATAAACATTAGAATGGAATTGTATGTTTGTATATCATACAGAAGCAATTAGTCAGTAAAACAAAAGTTAAAGTGAAATTTCTTCCTCAATATTTCTAAATAAAACACCAAAATAGAAATGGTATTGTTTATAAGATCCTCAATAAAAATTTTAAAATAAATATAAACTTAAACATTTTTTTTTTTTTTAAGAAAAACATCTTTACTTTAATTTTTGTCACACATTTTATCCTTTTTAAAGATAGATTGATGAATTTTTTAGCAAAAATCAAAATATGGAATAAAATGTTAAAACAAAAAAGAACTGAGCTAAATTTGAAATAAGTAACAATATAATAATTAGTCTTGAGAAACATTATTAGAATAAATAATAAATATTATTCAAATATTAAATATCATCAAAAATTACTCATTAAATATTGCCAACTTATTGGCTAATATTATTGAAATACTTGAGAAATAGCATTAAAATAATTGGTAAGTATGATAAAAATTATCAGCAAATGTCACCAAAATGAGCATAGATATTTCGGTGAATGACAGCTAAATGACAGATCGCTAATGGGAAATTTATCTCTCATATTGAATCTTTAAAAAGTGTATGAAAAATTTTTTCATAATCTGGTAAGTATTTGGTTTATATTTCAATTAAATTCTTAAAATTTATGCTATACTATAAAAATAATTCTGTAGCAATTTAATGCATTTTACACCTAAAAAAAATAAAGATTCATAATAAAATAGCAAAATTTCTTTGCTCTGATAGAAATTTGTTGAACATTTACTCCGATATTCGGTGTTTTTGGTGTATTTTCTATGGTAGCTTACAGAGGATGAAAAATGAGAGTGGTGGCTTGCAAGGAGGTGGACAGGTCGCATTGCTCGATTTCTCCGACTTTTACAAATGAGATTATAAAGATTTATGATTTCCACCGAAATGATCAGTTTTTCTGTTCAGGAAATATTTTGACGAGAGAATGGACAACCTTATTTTTAAATTTAGGCTATAATTTAGGTCTAGGCATATATTTAGAGCAATCTCGGACCTAACTGAATTTCATTATGATAATGGAAATTTAATATTTTTTACCAAATTTAAATGAAATAAAAAAGAAATTTCGAAATCATAAATTTAAAAGATTTAAAAAAAGTTGTAATTTAATGGAATTTGAAATGAAGCAATTGATAAACTTAGTAATAAATACGGATTGAAGAAAGAATTTTCGTGATCGTATTCGATATGCAGTTAAATGCGGAAGAAAAGCAATTGCAACTTTTTTAATTTTACAATTTTTGATTCCAAAATTTCTTTTTTTATTCCGCTTTTTTCTTAAAATTTTGCCTAATAAAATTTGTATTTTGATCTGATGATAATACAACAAATAGATGATAATGATCTGTAGGTTATCGCAACATGGTAAATTATTGCTAACAAATAATTTCAATCAAAATATCATAAATGTCATTAATATATTTTTTTCTTTTATTAAATTATTACATCAATCGACACAGACAGGCATACGCATACATATTATATATGTACACAAATACACGAATCCATTCACACATACACACATAATGCACATACACATACAC